TTGAAATGAAATTTACAAACTAAAATAGCGCTGAAAAGTATTTTACTGTGCCTTAAATTTAAATTAATTAAACTTTATAAACACACTAGTGTAATATTTATTAAATTAATGTACTTGGTATGGAGCTATACAATGAAGCTTACATACATTTGCTGCAGAACAATGTTGTACAATAATTAAAAACATATTTACAGGACTCGTTGAAAATGTCGAATCCCGGAGAAGATCTGTTTTAAATGCATAAGCGGCGCAGAGCGGCACGCTATAGGCGAGCCGAAAGTCTTCGAGAGCTGGTGACAGGAAGGGAAAGGTGGTAGAGAGACTCTCGGAGCCGGGTAATAATTTTCTTCTCTTAAATAAATAAATTATCTTCGGGGTGCTTTCTCTCAAAATAGGGAGCAGAACTGTGTTAAAGTCGGGCTGTCATCAATATGTTGTTCGGGGATTTTCCAACGACAAGGCGCAATTGATTTGACTCTGACTTTACCAACGACAGCGAATTTTGACTCTTTACCAACGACAACGAATTTGAATTGCCACGACAGCGATTTGACTCTTTACCACGACAAGCCATTTACCAACGAATTTGATCTTCCCAACGACAAGCGCATTTGACTGACGAAAGCGCATTCCAGAGCGAATTTGACTTTATAACGACAAGCGAATTTGATCTTACCCAACGCAAGATTTGACTCTTTTGAAATTTGAATCTTACAACAACGCGCATTTGACTCTTTACCAACGACAAGCGAATTTAGCTTACCCGACAAGCGAATTTGAATCTTTACCAACGACAAGCGAATTTGACTCTTTACCAACGACAAGCGAATTTGAATCTTTACCAACGACAAGCGAATTTGACTCTTTACCAATGACAAGCAAATTTGACTTTTACAAACGACAGCGCATTTGAATCTTTACCAACGACAAACGAATTTGAATCTTTACCAACGACAAGCGCATTTGACTCTTTACCAACGACAAGCGATTTGAATCTTTACCAACGACAAGCGCATTTGACTCTTTACCAACGACAAGCGAATTTGACTCTTTACCAACGACAAGCAAATTTGAATCTTTACCAACGACAAGCGCATTTGACTCTTTACCAACGACAAGCGAATTTTTCAAATTTGAATCTTTACCAACGACAAGCGCATTTGACTCTTTACCAACGACAAGCGAATTTGAATCTTTACCAACGACAAGCGAATTGACTGTTACCAACATTGGTAACAATGACTCCATTTGCCACAATGAATGTCATGGGCTTGTGCAGACCTTTCTCAGGCAAGTGACATTGGTAACAATGACAGTTACAATCTCCAATGACACATTTTAGTTTCCCTGTAATGCGTTTTACTAGAAAAGAAGAAATTAGCTGAGCAGGGCGCAGTTTAAAATTATACAAAGACAGCTGAGATGCTCTAATTTTAATTTTAGAGTCTAATTACTCAATAAACTGCCAATAAAATCCAATTACTCAATAAGCTGCCAGATCGAAAGAGTCGTAATTTTGCAAAGCTGAAGCTTGAAAGTTAAACAGTCCTTTTCTACAGCCCCCTGTGCACGCTTATTGATGACAGAATTTCCGCCGTAAAAATGTATCCCTTAAAAAGCGCTCATAAACGTTGACGATGGGGGAAATAGCAATTTTCAAACTTCATTATATGTTTACTTTAGTTCTTCTTACTATGCAAGAACTTCGAAGCATTTTTGTTTCATTTATATTCAGAATATTTAATATTAATACTCTCATAACACAAAAGAGTGAATCTAAGATTCTTTATGGTTCTTCTGCTGTTTTCTAATACAATGGTGCTTATACGCATCTAGTTTTGTTAAATGAAAAATAAATGTGTGTTTAAATCTTTCATAGTAGTTCCATACAAGTAATGATGATTGATTGATTGATTCCAACTTTTTCTTACTCTAGGGGCTTCAAATAACAGCAATTGAGAAGGATTTTTATTAACATATATTACCAATTAGAAACCATATACCCTCTGCATAGCTACGGCCGCGCGCCGCGGCGTCACGCGTGCACTGGTAGTCGGTCGGGGCCCGAAAAAGGCCAAACCTATCGAAGCAATAAATTCTACTCGAGTGGGTTAGGAGCACATTGATTATCTCCACACGATCCTTGGAAGGCCATGGATGCGTACTTAAAGTACGCGTTGTCGCTGGCAAGATTAGCCTTTTTTATACTTGCTTTCCATGCCCCGGCTAATAACTAGTTTAACCGCGCCGACCGCCCTGAACACAAACCGCAGGCGTTGGAACGATTTATTGGAATATACTTGTGTTTAGAATAACTGAAGAGTGCCCTTCCTGTTAGGTTCAAAGCGTGCGTTTTTTAGTTTTGGGATTATCATTTTTAAGTTTTAATTTTGTTTCTTTCAACCTATAATTTTTTACAATTATAATATATGACGTTCAAGTTTTATGTGCCACCTTGTGATAAGTTGAAAGTGTTTAACCCCCAAAGGGTTTTTTTTGTATTTAAGGTATTTTTACTTTTTCCTTGTAAGTTTGTTCCTTTACCTTAACAATACCTTAAGAATCGTGCGCTTTATGACAGCATTAATTTAATAATCATTTATCTTTTCATCTCTGAACTAAGTGTATATAATTAAGATATGCACACTGAAAATCTTAACAATTTTTTTTAAAGTTTACAAATAATAAATTATGATCTAATTAGAAATTGATTTATTAACACTATTATAGCAAGTAATGTTATACTTCATCTTGGTTTTTGGGCTAAACTCTGTATGCGTTATTATACGTAGTTGAAGCCCAGGGGGAAGAAACACATTTATTTTAGAAAAAAAGACGAAAATAATTCTTGTGCAAAAGATCATAATATTGGAAAATGTCACGTTAAATGAACTATGATCAGGAAAGACCCCACTGAAATGGGAGGAATAAATCTTGACGCTTCATTAAAAAAACTACTACAGAAAGAATATTTTCGCTAAAATATAGTTCCATTAATTTTAAGGATCTTATTTTTAAAAGTAAGCAATGAAATATACAAATTTCTATGTTACGAAATTCCTACGTTACGAAAACAGCGTTGTTCATTAGAGCTAATCTTCGCGTTTATTTCTGAAATAAGCGCGCGAAAGACAGTTGGCAACAGAATAATTCCACGGCACGGAGACCTTAGCTTTCGAAGGTGCGCCCCGTGATTTCTTGATATGATAGACATCAGCTGTCGCGTCAGTTAAGCGCCCGTGTGATTACTAAGGCCCTTCCCACTGTGCCCTAAAAATCCCTCTTTTTATGAAGTCAATACTCCACGCAGCTAATAGAATTAAATTAAAATCATGCCTATTCCTACCACTATTATACAAACCAAATCTGGAACTGCGCTAGTAATTTCGTTGTGATAATAATCAAAAAAATAAGGTGTCTCCAAGAGTTATTTCCCAGAAAATACACAATGCACCGTGTCCTAGAGAAACTGCCACGTCCAGTAAATTCTTCTGGCAACCGTAAAACTGCGCCAAGCCAAAATTTGTGAATTCCTCCGTAATGTCACACCACTGAACGATTATAATATCACAGGCATTATTGAGTCGACAACCGTGAACTATAAATTGGCATATTATTTCGGTCGATTTGGTGTCAAAAACCATACCCAGAAGCATGCTATCTTTAATCTAATATATATCTTCAGGGTATAGTAAGCCCTGGAGTGTGATTTAAAACTCCAAAAGCCTTAAACAAACATGCATGTCGAAGTCATCCTTTTTTTAGATCACTCGTGCTTTTTTCCCCAAAATCAACTATAATACCAATACCTTATTCCACCCCTAAAATTATATCATCCAACTATGTCCACCACTAAATACACAAATACGGGACACGTATTGCAAGCTAGTAATTAAATAGTTGTGATAAATAATAAAATAATAAGAGGTGTCTGGAGATTGTTATTTACTGCAGAAAATACACAATGCACAATGTAAAAAGGGAAAGAAAAATAGAAAAATTGCCATATATTAAGAAGTCTGCCAAGTAAATTATTCTTGGCGCAAACGGGAAAAAATGCGCCAAGATAAATTTGTGAATTTCTCCGTAAATGTCACACGAAATTTTACGAAATTTAATATTCAGGCATAATTTGAGTCGTACAGTTGAAATATAAAAAAAAAATTGGCATATCATTTCAGAAAAAGTCCGATTTAGTGTCAAAATACCCATATTAGAACAATGCTTATTTAAATCTAATATATATCTTCAGGATATAGTAAGGCCTGGAGTGTGATTTAAAACTCCAAAAGCCTTAAAAACATGTGAATATATAATATCATGTCGAAGTAAATATCTTTGATAAATATCATCGTGCTGTTATTCCACTAAAATAATATAAATACCAAGCTATTATTCCTCTAAAATTATATCATACTGTTATACTACTAAAATATATAAACACAAATACTGGACACGTATTGCCGGCTAGTAATTAAATAGTTATGATAAATAATAAAATAATAAGGGGTGTCTACAGATTGTTATATTATGTTCACTGCAGAAAAAATTACGCAGTTCACAATGTAAAAAGGGAAACGAAAATAGAAAAATTGCCATGTATTTAAGAAGTATACTAAGTAAATTATTCTTGGTGTAAGCCGAAAGAAATGCGCCAAGATAAATTTGCAAATTTCTCCGTAAATGTCACACCAAATTTTACGAAATTTAATATTCAGGCATAATTTGAGTCGTACAGTTGAAATATAGAAAAAAAATTGGCATATCATTTCAGAAAAAGTCCGATTTAGTGTCAAAATACCCATATTAGAACAGTGCTATATATAAATCTAATATATATCCTAAGTCACACTTTCGAGACATGAAAACGCAGTTTGAATTTCATCAATGGGCGCAGTGTACTTTTATGAGTAGGAATTGCTTCAAATCAAAATGTTGAGAATCCAGCAAAGTGGATGTAAATATTTTTCGAAAATCGGTAGATTGTCATAGCTACCTACGGCTTCTGTGTGAACGGGGTGGACTGCAAACAGGGCACTGGACACTAGACTGGAGGTGCTGGGCAGGAAATGGAGGCACAGCCTGAAAATAAAAAATACGTAATTGTAAATGATTAAATGATCCTTCTCATGCAGCATTTCTCTGCACATTTTATTAAGAAGAACTCTGATTTTATTACAAGACATTATTTAAATAAAGACAGTAGAAAAATTCGTAGTAAATTTAACATGCATATTATATAAGAAATATTACTATGTCTGTAAAGAATCATTTTTAGTGATGACATAAATGCCAATGATAGAAACAGATTTATGAAAAAGTACATTCCATTCTGGCTGATTCAAATTTTTATTTCTTGAGGGAAAACATGTTTGGGACAGATAAGTCGGGCCAAGATATTCGCTCATTCATAAGTTTTAATGCAGATCTACAGGCTTCGAAACCCAATATGGTTTCTTAGGAATAGTTTCAAATCCTATCGACCTTAATCAATATATTGAAGTCAGTTTTAAATACTATATAGGTCAATTTATAAAAAGATGTTTGACATTGTAATAGACTAAATATTTTCTTTTATTGCTAAAATCACGTTTTTAATATAAACACTAGTAATTAAATGAAAAAGCTTCCCTTTTTTTTGAAAAATTATGTTGGCATATTTTCTATTTTTGTAATAATAATTTTGTAACAAGTAATATGTTTTTGTAACATACAAAAGGGCAGCAAGTGACAGCAAGCTAGCAGTACAAAAGCAGTAGAGCAGAAACACGAAGATTCCCATATGAAGATTTTGTTACGAAAACTCCAGATTTATTTTGAATTTAGTCTTTGATACTTTGATACACAAGTAATTATATAGGGGTTCTACTGAATTTGCAGTACTTCCCTGTTAAAATGAGATGTTCAAAATGTACAATTTACCAATATATAAGCGTTAAGAAAAAAATGAGCTCACCGAACCGGGTAACAAAGTGGATATATTACGGTGAAACACCGAAATCTGGAGAATGTCGACTTTCACCATGTACTAACGGTGAATGTTGAACATATAAGAATATTATATTTCCTTCTCCGTAATTCATTCGCGAAAAAACGCACTTGAGACTCAGAATAAGAACTTAAGAATATAAGAACTTAAAACACACAGTACATTCAAATTGAGAAAGGAAAATAATACAAGTTATAAACTTACCAAATTATGTGATTCAAATCTTATTTATTGTAACAACTTAAACTATTATGACACTTTGAATTGCACAAGAGGCCCTTGCTTTTACAACTGCATTTATTTGTGGAACGCTTCCTTTTGGAATGGCGTGTACATATAATCCTCTCTTTTCGACCTACACCAGAGCATATCTGTGATTGTCGACATGCACCGGTGAGGGTCCGAATGTACAAGAATGTAAAGAAATATTCGATCTTTCACCGACGTATTTGGTGAATGTTTACATTCTCCGGTGAAAGTCGACATTCTCCAATTTCGGTCTTTCACGGTAACAGATACATATATGTTTGGTGCGGCGGATTGCAACTAAAAAGAGGTACATATTATAGCAATTCGATATACAAAGTGTCCGTTGGTGAATGTTGACATTCTCCGGTGAAAGTCGACATTCTCCAATTTCGGTCTTTCACGGTAACAGATACATATATGTTTGGTGCGGCGGATTGCAACTAAAAAGAGGTACATATTATAGCAATTCGATATACAAAGTGTCCGTTGCTGAATGTTGACATTCTCCGGTGAAAGTCGACATTCTCCAATTTCGGTCTTTCACGGTAACAGATACATATATGTTTGGTGCGGCGGATTGCAACTAAAAAGAGGTACATATTATAGCAATTCGATATACAAAGTGTCCGTTGGTGAATGTTGACATTCTCCGGTGAAAGTCGACGTTCTCCAATTTCGGTCTTTCACGGTAACAGATACATATATGTTTGGTGCGGCGGATTGCAACTAAAAAGAGGTACATATTATAGCAATTCGATATACAAAGTGTCCGTTGGTGAATGTTGACATTCTCCGGTGAAAGTCGACATTCTCCAATTTCGGTCTTTCACGGTAACAGATACATATATGTTTGGTGCGGCGGATTGCAACTAAAAAGAGGTACATATTATAGCAATTCGATATACAAAGTATCCGTATTTGGTGAATGTTGACATTCTCCGGTGAAAGTCGACATTCTCCAATTTCGGTCTTTCACGGTAACAGATACATATATGTTTGGTGCGGCGGATTGCAACTAAAAAGAGGTACATATTATAGCAATTCGATATACAAAGTATCCGTATTTGGTGAATGTTGACATTCTCCGGTGAAAGTCGACATTCTCCAATTTCGGTCTTTCACGGTAACAGATACATATATCTTTGGTGCGGCGGATTGCAACTAAAAAGAGGTACATATTATAGCAATTCGATATACAAAGTATCCGTATTTGGTGAATGTTGACATTCTCCGGTGAAAGTCGACATTCTCCAATTTCGGTCTTTCACGGTAACAGATACATATATGTTTGGTGCGGCGGATTGCAACTAAAAAGAGGTACATATTATAGCAATCCGATATACGAAATTTTAAAGCTCTAAAGCTACTCATTTTTCAGTTATGCGAGATATTTATGTACATACGTGCAGACTTCACACCATTTTACAATCCGTTTTGGGGGAAAAAATTCCTTAATTTTGTTCGTACATTCAGATGTCGCGCAAAAGCATCGTTCAAATGGATTGGAGAGCCGTCAAAATGGATGTTTTCGTTGAAATATGCTCCCCAAAATATTTCGAGAATACATACTTCGTTTACTGCGTGCAAGGAAGTAAAAATGAATTTTTTCTCACGCGCTTTACAGTTCTAAGGTATTTCTCCCGCTTTCTTAGCGTGCCTTCGTGGTGTAGTAGTCTGCACGCTGGGCGCGTATTCCAGAGGTCTGTGGTTCGATTCCCTTCGAAGGCGTTGCATATTTTTCATCTTTCGTGCTTCCAAAATACCTAATTTCTCTACAGTGGCGCTCGAACCAAAAGGGTGGTGTATGATGATTCGGCTAATCTTTGGAATATGGTAACAGGTAGTTTGGCGAAGTTTGGTAAGGCGATAAAAGTTACTAGCTAGAACTTTAGCAGTGTACACGGATAAATTTAAAAGTGTTCGCAATGCCATTTTTGTGCAATTCTGGGATTTTTTTTAAGTGAAAATAGGTCGACGTGTACATGGATGATACCGTGTATGTGCAATTCTTAAAAACGCGGCAAGCAGTGGGCGATTCTGCACTTTGTTCCAATTTCGCACCTAATCTTCATCATGATTAAGCACTTTTGTTCCATAAAAGTTCTAGCATAAGCGTAATTCAGCTAGCCGATTGTTGGAAAAAAAATGTTGATTTAAAAAAAAAAAAAAAAAAATACCATGCCTTTGCTTCGTGAAAACAAAACGGCGTCCAAACAAAAAGTAGCAGGTTGCTGTAGCAGGCTTGGTCGCTAAATTTTCGCCAAAAATTCGCCAAGTTACCATAATCCAAAGATTAACCGATGATTCTCCACAACCAGAATTTGGTGATTGGGTCCCCTAAATCCCAGTCGCCCTTTAAAAGGGGGAGTATATAAGGTATTGCTCCCGCCTTCTTAGCGTGCCTTCGTGGTGTCGTAGTCTGCACGCTGGGCGCATATTTCAGGGGTCCGTGGTTCGATTCCCGGCGAAGGTGTTGCTCATTTTTCACTTCTTCTGTTTCAAAAAAAAAAAAAAAATACTTATGTCTGTACACAGTAAATGTGCACTTACTACAAAAGAAAGAGAAAATTAATGTTTTTTGGCGGAGATGTTTCGAAAGTATACTATTACATCCTAACGGGCAGACGCGTGTTATTAATCTACAAATAATATATAGTCCATAAATTTAGATTTCTGTAACAGACGGTTTCTAATTTCTACGTAAAAATTCAAGCGAGTGGAAACAATTGCATGAACTACTTGATTAAATCTGTTTTATTACTACTGTTTCTTGAAATCCACCTATTTCCTTTGCACAGTTAATTAAGAAATAAAAGCTGTAGTCAGCGCAATGTAATACGGTCATTAAGTTAATGTACATCATAAATTAAGTACCTTGAACAATGATTCCTGTAATAAAAAGAATGGAGGAATTATGACCTGGCGACATTATACTTAATTCCGTTTTATGATAATTCCATCCATTTTATGGCAATAAATGAATTCAGATCCCCAAAAGGAAACTTTAAGACTTCTACAAATGATTTTAATACTTCTTTAGCAATTAGAAATAAAATGATTTACATATAGGCGGTAGGAAAATCAAATTGCTTCGCCATACAGTTATTCAGAAAGGGAAGCTTCATAAATACTCCCGTTTAAAGCTCTAAGTAAACACATTTAGTTTTATGCAGAGAAATGATTTTTTTAGGAGGGTCATATACTATTATCGCAAGCACTCGCTTGATACACGCCCGTTAATATTCTGGCAAACGTCGCGTATATATTTCATTAAAACATGTTTCATATTTATTTACAAATCCAGCATTATAAAATGTGCAGCCAGCACCATGTTTCCAGAATGTTCTTCTTCCGGTCATAAAAGCAGGCCATTTCCATAAAATGCCCGGAATTTAGTTTACAATGAAATGTTTATGCCATGCTTTTATTTCTGATGTTTTATGGATTTTGTTTTTATCGTTATGTTGACTGTTCGTAGAATTTCTGTTGAAAGTAGACGCTCAGGCTATTCGAGTAGGATTAGAAATGGTGAAAGAGGGAACAAAGTAATGTTTTAGACTTATATCTGAATGTATAATGGCTAAATAGTTAGGTTATTATGAGTAATACTGCTTTATGTGCTTTCGAGTTTCCATTTCATGAGCATCCCAAATGCGTTTCTGTTATGTTGATTTTTCATTCCCGTTACATCGCAGCCTAAGTTTATTACCTTTCTTACGTATAAAAATAACGCTTCACAAAGAAACAAGACTATTCTAGTCTATTAAATGGATTAAAAATTACTCAGCTGGAGTTGGCAACAGCGTACTTGTTTAACAAATAATTACCTTTCTTTTTAGTGAAA